TTCTCCGTGGCTTAACCTTGGGATTTTGGAATCCATCTTGCCGTTTTTGAGATACTGAGATCAAGTACTAGTTAGTACTTGGTGCGGTACTTATAAGTACCATCATTAGAAGCAGATCAATGAGTGGATGACAATGATATAAGGTTCATATGTATGGGACTAAGCGTTTAGGAATCCGAGAGGGTTTTCTTCCAGCCAGCCCAAATCAAAGGGTACTGCGCCCCCTTAACAGGGCTGTAAAAATCCACTTATTCAGATCAGAGTTATAAACGATATTATATCCATGACAAGTCTGACGATTGAAATTGACAGTTTCTTAACACATTGGTGACGGGCCCCGAGAAAACTCGTAGTACTACGAGATTTCTCGGGGCCCGTCACCAATGTGTTAAGAAAAAAAAAAAAGGGAAATTCTGAATGAACTTTGAAAAAACTCTCTGGATTGATATTAATTGATTCATCAACTATTCACTGGGAATAAGCTCATGAAAACCATCTGCAAGAGGCAACCAGTCCAGTGAATGAAATTAAACGGAAGAGGAGCTCGACGTGGTCTCGATGATCAGGAAGGACAGAGTTTTAATGTTTCCTCCACTTTACTACCAGAAGGAGCTCTTTTCCATGCTCAATGTCTATCTATTTTTAAATAATTGCTGATATTGTGGCTTTGGCACAAAAAAAATTGGGTATCACATAGATACACATTCTAATATGCAAAGTGAGGGTTTGGGGAAATTAGCTCAGTTGTGAACAGAGATATTTAGGCTGAAAGACGTTGGTCATATTTTTGCCATATCTTGTATATTTATGAACTATATATAATGAATATTGGCTAAAGAATCAATTACCCGGCGGGACAGTAAACTGCTCCCAACCAAGGTGCGCAGACAGAATAAAAGAAGATACCTGTTGGGGTCGATTCCGGCAGAAATCATCCAAGGGCAACAGAAAATGCCCAAACTTGCTCGAATTCTAGGATTGGGCGACGAAAGAGAGGGATAAGGGGAATCGCGTGGGCATCGTCTATTTAGATTTCACGAAAGCTTTCGATACCGTTCCTCACAAGAAGTTGTGGGTTAAACTGGAGGCGCACGAGATCCAGGGTAGGACGAGCGAGTGGATCAGTAACTGGTTGACGGGAAGAGAGCAACGAGTAATGGTAAATAGGGAAGCGTCGACGGTCCTGGGACCGCTTCTGTTTTTGGTCTACATAAACGATTTGGATTTAGGCGTAGAGGGTATAATAAATAAATTTGCTGACGACACCAAGATAGGTTTTCCCCAAGGGGGAGGCGGATAGGGCTAATGATAGGCTTTTGGATGAGTGGAGAAAGAAATGGCTCATGAGGTTTAATCAAAGTAAAGGTTAAGTTCTCCACGTCGGTCGAAATAGCAGTAGGTCTCTCAACGCGTTTGGCGAGGAGAAACTGGGGGAGGCAAATGGAGAGAAAGATTTAGGGTGGATTTTTGAACATAGCATTATCCGATAATGCAGCTTTATTTACCGGATTTATAATGCATTTTCTCTGAAATAAAGCTGCATTATCGGATAATGCTCTGTTCAAAAATCCACCCCTAGGAGGTTTTATCGATGCAGACTCCGTTTTCCTCGCGCGCGCAAGTGACGATGGCCAAATGTAACAGGATGCTAGGATTCATTCGTCGTTCAGCTACGAGTAGGAACTCGCGCGTTATTCTTCCGTTGTATGCGGCGCTGGCAAGACACCAGTTGGAATATTGCATCCAGTTTTGGAGGCCTACATCTAAGGGTGAATTGATGGTGCTCGAGTGAGTGCAGAAGATGGGGCCACAATAATGATGAAGGAGGCCAGGGGACCTCCGTACGAGAAGCGTTTAGAAGTGTTGGGACTGTACTCGCTCGAGAGAAGGTTGGGGAGGGGCGATCTCATTCAGGTCTTCAAGATAATTGAAGGAATTGATAATGTGGAACGTGGTAGGTTCTTCCAGTTCGATGTCAGCAAGAGATCGAGAGATAATCAACTCATGTAAACCGCAGGTGCGGCTCAGGTCGAGACAGGACTTACTTGTAGAATGGTGAACGCGTGGAATGTGTTAGATGACGACGTAGTGGCTGCCCCTTCCGTGACTATTTTAAAGAAGAAACTAGATGCTTTTATGGATAAGCAAAACGGGGGGTAAATTTGACATATGGGACTAGGCAGTAAGCAACTAGGATATGCTTAAAAAAAAATAAGAAAATAAATCACAAAAATACAAAAATATTTAGCTTTAAGAGGAGTAGACCTACTCTAAAATTAAGGAACGCTCGACCTCGACACATGGCATCCAAATGGGTGTTATCGCCTCTTGTTATCACTAAACTACCTTGATACCGTGATATTAAGTCCTCTTTTCACAGTTCCCCAAGAAAAATATATTTTCTTGACATTCTCATAGAGCTTCGTGATGGCAAGCTCTCAGCAGACCTTTTAAAGAAACCTACTGACGCAGGGGCACTTCTACATTATCAGAGTTCTCATCCTCAACATTGTAAAAGCTCCATCCCATATGCTCTAGCACTCAGGTTAAAGAAACTCTGCAAGGATCGGAGGACGGTATGTCCTCCGATCCTTGCAGAGTTTCTGGGTCATTTATCAAGTTCTCTTCAATCTCGTAGATTACCTCATAACGTAATTTAGAAAGCTTTTTCAAAGGCTGACAACTTCTCTCAAGAAGAACTCTTGCAATATCAAAAAAACCATGACGTAGAACGTATACCATGCGTTTTGACATTCCACCCCTCTCTGCTCTTTATTGGCAGGTTTTTAAAACGCCATTTCCAAATTCTGCAGCAAAATCAGGATCTCAAGCTGGTATTTCCCAACCTTCCTCTGATCACCTATCGGCAACCTCCGAATCTGAGAGTTCTTTTAGTCAAAACTGCCTTTCCTTCTCAATCTACGATCTCGCCAAGGAACTGTGGAGCTCCATGCAAGAAACAGAGACGTAAGGTGTGTCGTCACTTCCCATCCACTTCAGGGAAGTACAATTGTGATTCATCTCATGTCATCTACTTCATATCTCGCAAAGAATGCAGCAAGTGAAATGTTGGGGAGACAGAAACATCTTTCCGCCCCCGTTTCAAGAACCACAAGAGTAGTGTTCGACGAGGTATTTCCAACCTACTTGTGGCGGAGCATTACGGTCAAGCGTTTCACTCTATTTATGGACATGGTGATCGATATCTTTGCTTTAGATTTCATGGATACTAAACAAAGACGACTGGAAGAACTCAAGAAAATCATCGAATGGAGAACTCACACATTGGGGCTGAACAGGGCCATCTCATATTCAGTGGCGTAACTAGGGGGGGGGGGGCGCAAGTGGGGCGGTCGCTCCGGGCGCCACAGTCCAGAGGGCGGCAAAATAGCCTTTCAAAAAAATTTTTATTTCAAAGAAGCAAAATGTCGGAATTTTTTTTTCATTTTGCCCATTTTGCTGCCCACTGGCGAAATGCCGGTTTAGGAGTTTTTGCGATTTTTTCCCGTTTGCTGCCCTCAGTTCAGAGGGCGGCAAAACTGACGCAAATAGCATTTCCGGGGTAATAAAAAAAATACACTTTTACTATTGATATATATCCGGTATGACGCATGCTGGTAGCTCGGTTAGTAGTGCTAGTGCTATAATCACTTCCTTTGCGAGCGAGTTATGACAGATATTAAACGTCTAAACCACTCTGCCAGCGACATATACTGAGAGACATATACCTGTACTTGATTTTGATTACATTCTTTGTGCTGAGAATCAGTCCTGAATAACATAAATCTCATTCTCCAGTAAAACGTGTGTGCATGTGAAAATAGCAATTAGCAAGGGGGGAGGGGGACAGGAGTATGGGGGTGGCAGTTACAGTCACACGCCCAGGGCGGCAAATTACCTAGTTACGCCACTGCTCATATTTAACCCAATATATCTTCTTTTGATTCCTACCTTATGGGTCAAGAATGTACCTCATGAGCCTATTTCCCCTTGAGAAAGGCATGAACGTGTCAAAACGTCGGGGAATGAACTTTTAATTCCAAAATTTGAGCCGCACCTTGAGTTTGAATTCATTTTTTTGAAATGATGGTTTTGTTAAGTGACATTTCAACATAGGTCTAATCCTTTCATGAATGAATCCAGAAGTCCTGGTTAAGCTTTATTGGGCATGAAGGTTCGTGGATGTGTGGGGTTGTCGCCGATATCTCCCTGCCCGAGAGGGGTGCTGTCGCAAAGAAAGGGTTGAAAATCGCTGGTCTAAATGAAAGGAGACTCCCGATACGTCTCTACTCGCAAATGCTGATTTTTCTTCGATATTTGGGCCTTTGTAGATCCAATGGTGTACATCTTCGGAAACAGTAATTTGACAGTATCAAGAATGATGCACAAAAAGGGCACAACCTAAACAGCACAGTGATATCCCAGGGATGTCCCTCACTGGACAACTTGTCCCCTGGTCTTGATAGAATATCCTGAAGACATCTTACGGACATCTCGTAAGGGATGTCTTCGGGATATCTTCCCAAGTAGCAAGGGATCATCCCTGGGACATCCCATTTGGATCCTACGTGGGACAAAATGACATCCCATGGATGTCATAATGAAATCGTCCCGGGATATGGAAATCCCTGGAGCATTCAGAGGACATCCCGTAAGGTTAGAAATACTCTCATCCCATACACCAAATCCTTAGTGTGTCCATAGGACGTCCATTATGGGACACATCCACATCCCGCAACGGACGTCCTATGGACATACTAAGGATTTGGTGTATGGGACGAGAGTATTTCTAACCTTACGGGATGTCCTCTGAATGCTCCAGGGATTTCCATATCCCAGGACGATTTCATTATGACATCCATGGGATGTCATTTTGTCCCACGTAGGATCCAAATGGGATGTCCCAGGGATGATCCCTTGCTACTTGGGTTAGAGGCGTCTTTTACACATCTTAGTCGATATCTTAGAGATGTCCCTTTCGGGATATCTTTAGGACATCCTTAGTCGAATGCTTCTGGATATCCTGGAGGGGATATCTTGAAGACTTCTTCATTCGAACGCTTTTCGATATCTTGAGGACGTCTTAGGGATGTCATTAGGCATCTTCTGTGCTCTCTGTCGCCTTCAGTCAGGTGCATAGCTTCGGCGGTAGATGTCTCCCGTGAGCCTTGATCTGCAACCTCAGACCTTTTCTATCAAATTCATCTACTTGATTTGTCCTGAGGATAAGTAAAGATTTTCGTACCGTGCATCAGGAAAACTGCCACCAGGGAAAGTGAAAAAATTGCGGTCCGAATTGTAATTTATTCCACTATATTCTGAGTGATCGGCATGTCTGGATACAACTATCTTGGTGGGAGGCCTGAGCCCATACTTTTCAAAAAACGTAAGGCTAAATTATCTCGTCCATGACCCGTCGTACAAATGTACTAAATTTCGTCCCTTGGAGATGTGTCTCCTATATAGGGTCCTTCATGAACAGGATTTTCTTCCCCCATAATCGGCACTCTTCAATCGGTCAAGAACTTAAGATTAGGTGTTCCTAGATCAAATAGAGGCATCTTCGAATGTATAGGGTGCTCCTGTGCGGTAGGAAACGTGTCCATTGCGGATAGTAAGGGGTCTGCAAGTACTACCTGGGATATCTCTGGGTCATCCTTCGGATATACAGTACTTGTACTGCAAGAAAGAGGCATCCTTGGGATGTCTTTACGCCCAGACATTTTGATATCCCTGAGATGTCCGAGAATTATCCCAAGGAGATATCCCTGGAACATCTCTGGGATGCGCTAGTTCTTCAAGAAAGGGACATCCTTGGGATGTCATTGGGCCCAGACATTTTGATATCCCTAAGATGTCACTACTCCTTGTCTCTGGGACATCGCACTTGTCCCAAGGGGATATCTTTGGGAAATACCTGCGTTGTGCGGGAACTGTTTTTTCTTAGTGGAACACATAAAACGAAAAACCTGGCTATTAAATTTAGCGCATCAGTGCAATAAATTGGCCAACTAGGAAGGAAAGAGCATGCAATGCTTCCTTCCTGCTCCAATCCTTCAGAGAACCTAGGAGAACCAACGGAAAATCTAAATACCCGTATGTTTCTGTTTGAGTAAGCAAGATCTTCGTTTTTGGAGACGATTTATTAGCATAGAGCACTCTCTATAGGAACTAAAACATAAATCATTTTAGAAAAGAAAGGAAAATCAGAGCAAAACAAGGAAGACACTTTATTTATGCACTCTTCACACATGATCTTCACCATTTTTGGAGAAGCACATAATCAATACATAATTGCGTTGCCTGTCACATGGCAACAGACTGCGGACAGGCATGTGCAACCAAGCCATATTTCACCCCATAAGGGCCTTGTGCGTGATGTGAAATTAACCCTCTTGATTATATTTGCACTTTCATTCCTGATCAGACAGAATAGTGGAAAAAGGAAAAGAACTCCTGAGTACATCAAGATTACAAACAGAAGCACAGAAATCAAGAGAGCATCAGGAAGAATCTCTCGTGCAACACCCTGCTGCATAACTGCCTCTGACTTGTCAAGGCTAACTTCACATTTGTTCATGTCTAGAATAGAGCATGGCCTACTTTTCTTCTGCCAGAAAGTTGAAATTGTTAATAATACCTGGAATGTCAAGTTTTCAAGCAGTCGTGGAGATTTCAAACAGAGAAGTGTTGTCACTTTCATGTTATATGCATGAATCTGTCCTTTAAATTCAGAATGTGAAATCTTTGTATTTTGCTAAAAAAAATTGTTTATGCATTACTTCAACTCAGACATGTATGCATGTAAATTCTTGGTCAGTCTTAAATTGGTGGAGAAAAAAAAGTAATACATATCCATGCTTGGAACTAAATTTGTGAATAAACCCTCATCTTTCCATGATAATGGAAAGATGAGGGTTTTATTTCATGAGAGTTTCATTATACCATAAACTGGGAAAGGCATCTTTACACCCTCATACTTATGAGGCTGAAGAAAAGAAAATGCAAGGATATTTAGAGCATATCAAAAGCACCTACATTGTACATGTACATTGGCTTAGTGTACCTCTAAACCTCAGGAATTTCCTGAAATTTTCATTTTGGAAAATACACCAGAAACCATTTGAGAAAGAAGGGAAGTTGCTTGGAGGCAGTAATTGCAGTGAAGCTACAAAAATATGAGAGGGGAAGATACTAAAAGAATATAGCATGTCTCTTTCAAATTCTAATTTTTTCTTAAACAGTTCTGCATGTTCTTTTTTACCAGTATTTCCCACCCTCTAAGTATCTTGAGTTTATGTGGAAATGTAGTAGTACCTCATTTTTAGCAAAAGCTCTGATGAAGGACAAAATTGGAATAAGATTTGCATGAGCATTATAAAAAAAAAAGGGAAAGAGATTGCTTGAGAACTCAAGATTATCAAGATACAAACTTTCAGAAAGGGATGGACAACATACCCTGTATGAGACAATGACAAAGAAAAAATTGATGAAATCCTAACTAAAAAAAAAGGGCTATAAAGGACAGAGGAGTCACCCAAGAAAGTACAACACGTATGTCATGTGGCTTCAACAATAACATAAGAAGCACTTTTGTAGTATGGACCAAGTGCCTACCTATCATACAGGTGGAAATGATATGGATCTCAGTCAACTTTTGCTCACCATACAAAATCTTCTACCTCTTGTCACCATCAATGTTTCAAGGATACATTGCATATGAATTTACTTTCTCTATGCCTCCCAGTCATTGTCATTGGAATGAAATGGCTCCATTTTTGCCCAAAATCTTAACAATTCTTATTCATCCATAAAAGGGACATGGTACTTTATAGATAGAATGAAGCAGTGACATCATTTCCACTAATTTTTTTGGGAACTTCTGCTTTTAGATGCATAGCCAGTTGATTTTATGAAGACATATGTGGTTCCAATTCCACTTTTTTTAATGGGAATTCAAGTTGCCCAGAGGGTGGGTGGGACGCAATAACTGGAATTTGAGCTCCCTCTGCTTTCTTCACAACTTTTCCTATCATTGAATTCAACCTGTCACTGGTCAAAACCTCAAGAACTTTGACCCGCAAGAGTAGTTACTCTGCTCAGAGAAGACAGGTAAAACTGTTTTGCCAGGTTGCTTGCCAACAGCAAACCATAGGTTTTCTGGAAAATAAATTGAATGAAAGTTCTGTGCTCTGCTGACATGGGTATTCTTTAACAGACATTACTACCTTTCTTCATTTGTTCATGTGCCTCTCTTCTTTAAACAAGGCACGGATGTTCCTTAAGAATGGAATAATTTAGAGGGCGATTAAAAAAAATACCCTTTCATTTCTAAATAATTTTCTATATGAGAAAGACAGGTTTGTGCATGCAGCTAACAATGATGAGTTATACAGGGTGTTCGTATTTAAATGCAACATAGGAAACATTTTCTTGCCTGCTTGTGCTAACTTCCTAGCTCTTCAACTGAAAAAATTGGTTCATGCCTCAATTTAACCCCATTTCATCTATTCTCCAAAAACTTTCTTGGGGAGTGCAGATATATCCAATAACTTTCATAAGAATGTTTTCAGACAATGGATATACTGAATCTACACTTCCCAGTTTAAGAAAGTTTTTTGGAGAGTAAATAAAGCTGCACTCCCCAATTAAGGGGTTAAAGCAATAAGAATAGGGGAACAATGTCAAAAGAATGTAAGCAGACTTAGATAATATCGTGGTTTTGCAAGGGAATTTGGTTGAAAAATTACTGATACTTAAGAAACATCACTCCTGTGACTCTGTGGAAGGGAATTTCAACCCTTGTGTCGTGCTGGGTATAGGAGGGGAGAGATTGGGACAAACAGTTTCTCAATCTATAAAAAAAACATCCCAAGTGATTTTCAAGTGTTATGACTCTTATATAATTTTTCCACTTTCAAATTAGGAAGCTGGCTATTACAAATTATTGGTTGGGCCAATGAAGTCACTATTACAGGAAAATTGAAATGATGAAAGCTTAGTGTCTTTTTTATTTTTTTTTTACCCCAGTAGCAAGTTCAAACTCCCATATCTCAGATCTCTCTGCCATAGTGACCTACCATTTTGGCTACATTCTATTCTCACCATATGTTGACTACAAGCCAATTTTATTGAATACTGGGATGGTTGACCATAGACAATCACTAAACCAGTAGCAGATTGATCCACCTGTAATGGGACATGTGGTAGAGACAAGAAAATAGACAAATTCCATCACCTTATAGCCTTTTAAATGCAATTGCTTACCTAACTTATTAATGCTGGTGGGATATACAAAGCCATCTTTCTCCTACAGAAAGTGATAGGGTATTTTTTACATCACACAAAAAAATTCAGTTTATGAAAGCAGATCCTCTCCAAGAATGTTAAGGTGGTGTACAAACTAGAATGAGAACCACATACACAACAAAGCTCTGAGAACTATCTCAAGCAGAAACTTTACCAAGGGCAAAAATATAATTAAAAAATCCCAAGATTTGATCACAGACATAGGTAGACACAGACGAGAAGATTCTTCACACATATCTCTGGTCCTTCAAGAGTGAAGCCCATTTACTGCAAACATTGCTCATCTGTGTTCTGCTCAGTTCTGCTTGAAGGACACAGTCACCCGAATTAGTCCAAGATTCTCCCCTTGCACAAGCTCAACTTGCCGGTAGGGGACTTCTGCATTGTCTCTCTTCATCTTGATCCCAAGAAAATGAGCAAGAGCTTTTTCAGCTGCACATTCTTCAGCCTCAACATGTGAAAGTGCATGGAGATCAGCATTGGAGAACATAGACCCAGCAACCTAAGGGCAAGGACATATACAGTTTGGAGTTAAAAAACGTTCCAGACAAATGGACCCACAGAACTAACAATTTCTTGAAGCTTGAAACTCAGATGGAAAATAGTTGTTCTTTGGATAGGGTATCAAAAAACCTTCAACAAGGGGTCCACTGGACAAACTAACATGGGCATTGCAGTATATAATATATCAAACAATATTCAAATCTAGTGTGAATCTGATTCATACTAGTTAGTAGCTGTTCTTACATTTTTAGAGTGCTTTTCAGGCCAATCTCCAATAAATTCATGAAGGAGATTGTCATTACCCCTTTTCTAGTTGTCTTTTACTCATCATTCAAAATGGTTTTAGCTTTTGTCACCTTTTTTCGGTTGCAACTGCACCCGCTGCCTTAACTTTGTGATGTGCATGAGGATGAATTCTATCCTTGCTTTCATTGACCATATTAACACTTTCCTGGTCATCAGCATAGGTCCTATACCAAGACATGTACCCTGGTTCTCCAAGTTTTTCCATGGCAATATAGTAAATATGTAGAAAAGGCTTGACTCAAAGTGTTCAGTGACAATTTTGAAACTAAAACATGCCTGAATTTCAGAAAAGAACTAGCTTTAAAATGAAATCACCCACATACCTCCTTGGTTCACATGCTTTACCAGACTCCTAAGCATGAGACTTGAAGACCATAGCATTTTATCAAAGCATATTAACAACAGGGAATACAGAACCACTGTCATATGATCAGCTCTCTCCTTTGATTTAGTGCCTTTAGTAAGGCATGGGAGAGGGTAAGACAAAACCTTTGTATACTTGTGGTTATGGAATACATGGCAAAGGGAGAAAAGTTTAAGAAAAATGAGAACCATTAGACACAGTTGCAATGGCTCATGTTCATCATGTCAGTCCATGTTACATGCTTCTAACTCTTTGCATCCATCCTAGTTGAACTCAGTCAGACATTCCCTATTTACCAGGTCCACTGTCCAGGACCAATGCAAATATTTTCCTTCTTCTACTCCACTGTTGAACTCCCTGATTATTCTGCACTAGAAGTCTAGAAGTCTATTGGTGGGGTTCCTTCAGCTGTCAAAATCAGCACCACACCGATCTGAAGATCTTCAGACACACTTTCTATGCAGAACACAATTTTGCTGAAGCTGCTTCCAATTTATAGATGCAACTGCATACCATATATTTCACATAATTCACATGTCTGTATAAAACTACATGGGATGGGGAAGTACTTTGAACTATGGTCATAGGAGGAGCATTAAAAAAATTCTGTCTGCCTTTTAGTTTACTCTCCCTGGTAAGTACTTGACTTGGTCCTACCTCCTATTCTGTATAGGAATTGGCATAAGAGGCTTTTCAATAAAATGGCCTTCAATATTCTGTCCTACTATCTCATCTTTTGACAAATCATTAGGCTTGAATAATTTTCCCATTTTATTTTTCTCCAAGTGTGGAGTAGATGAAAAGGGATTTGACCTAATGTTACAGACTCCTGATGGGTTTCTTTTTGGCATAATCTCCTTTTGAAGCAACTGCAAGTTATGAATAGCAACTTCCTCCTTCCCACACTTAGCAATAGACAGCTGGAACTGAGGGTTAACCCCTTAACTGGGTAGTTTTTTGCAATGAAAATGGGAAGTTTTTTCGCCATCAGCACAGGGCAACAAGAGAGCTCTACTTTTTTAGAATTCTGCCACAATGGGTATAAATTATGGAACCCTATTCACTGGGAGTGTGGATGGGTGTCTGAGGCACAGTGTACTTATTGGCTAGGCTTATCTTGCCCGGATATATATGAGGATATTCAACTAAAACCTATTGACGGATTTGCTGATCTGGTATGACTCCATACTAAGGTGGACCCTCTCCTTGGGGATGCACACTTTCCTACCTGTTTAGGTTTTTCCACAAGAGTAGGAATTCATCAAGACAATTCAATGGTTTAGGAGGTATACTGATTAAAAATAAATTGTTTATTTTTTTATTTAAAAAATAGAAATGAACATTGAACATTGTTTAGTACTTAATACTGGCCCCTTCAGCCTCCTGGACCATCTGGATTCTCCTGGGCATCGAGTTGGACAGGTTCATCAGCTCCTTCATGCTCAGCTCCTGGGTCCACATCTTCTTGATACAGTTGGTAAGCTTGGGTACAGAGTTGGTGTCCATCTCCTGGAGCCTATACTTCATTGTGTTCCAGAGATTCTCAATTGGGTTGACGTCTGGACTATTGCCGGGCCAGTCAATTATCTCAAAATCCTGTATCATCTTCCTGCCTGTCAGGCGAGGGTTGTGTGTGATGGCATCCTTCATGACTTTTAGGACTGCATTTGTTAACTTTCTTGGCCTGCCAGACCTTGGCTTCTTGATGGGGATCTCCAGGCTGGGCAAGCCCTTGGCGGCACTCACAATCCGGGCCACGGTCCTGACACTACGGCCCAACCTGCTGGCCATAACTTTCCAGGGTACTTTATCCTTCATCCAGGCAACTATCATAGCTTTTTCTTGTTCTGTCGCTTCTTTTTTCTTCATTTTTTAGCGTTTTTTGTCTGACGTTAAAATTTGTCCAACTTTCACTTTCAAACCCGCAAAATGTACTCTTTGCAATCAGCTGTGAGAAAGCCGGGGAAAGTTCCGTCTGCAGTTAGAATGATCAGCTGTTCACCATTAGTCATAATTTATGTCACAAACACGTAGAAATTGTCGGCAGCCGAAAAAAAAACTAAAAAAAAAACGTTATTACATTTTTTTTGACATGACTATTCATTTTGCGGGCACTGTATTGTAAACTGTGGTGGTCTCCTTCAAAGTAGTTCCCTCTTGCAGCTATACATGAATTCCAGCATTTTTTCCAACTGTCTGTCCCTTCTGGAAGTCAATCTCCTGCAAGATGTTTAGAATGCCCATTGTAACCTTCTGAATCTCTTCCATGGTTTCAAAATGTGTTCCCTTGATGTGTTTCTTCATATTAGGGAACAAGGAAAAGTCTCATGGAGCGAGATCCAGTGAGTAAGGGGGGTGTTCAAGTACTGTAATTGATTTTTTTGCCAAAAACTCCTAAACGGAAAGTGCTATGCGTGACGGTGTGTTATTGTGGTGCAAAATCCACTTAACGGGGAAAATTCCGGCCTCACACAATGAACCCACTGTCTCAGACGTTTCAAAACTTCCAGATGAAACTGCTGGTTGACAGTTTCATCAGCAGGAACAAACTCACCATGCACAATTCCTTTGCAGTCGAAGAAACAGAACAACATCGTCTTAACTGGTTAATTGGTTGGTTTTTCTTTGAGTTTGATGTTTTTGATGAGTGCCCCTAACAGTACTTTAGGTAAAGTGGTACTGCTCTGCAACCATTGCAAGTATCATGACAAGTTTGTTACTGCACAGACTTAAGACATGCACTGACAGGTTACAGCAATTGCCACTAACCCAGTGTTGCCACACGCATTACAGTGTTGTCAGTCTCGTTATTTTATTGTCAGACCTTGTATATCCTGGAACAGCTTTACAACCTAATCCAGGATAAGGAAAATCTTGGAACAGCCTTGGATTGGGATCAGTTTCTGAATCAAAATTATTGTTATTGAAGAACAAAAATGAGAGAAGGCTTTGCATCGAAATAGCTTTCCTGACAAGACTTCTTCAAAAAATGACGTCTCCATGATTCTCTTCTTGAAGAAGTGCATACCATTCATAGACTTCTGCACAATTCCTTGGAAAATTAGATCAACCATAGGTTTTCTCTGCTATCCATTAGTGCCTGCCTGGTCCTAGTCCCATCTGCAAGGTCACTGTCCACCACAAGTAGCATATCCTCTGATGCGCTGTTTGTCGTAAAGATAGGTTTGCCCTGCTATATCAACAGCAAGCCCATCAACGAGGAGAGCCTCAAAGACATCAATAGGGTCTTTTCTGTCACCAAAATCTATCAGGAAACCGTTCTGAACCAAAGATTTAAAGGGCAGGTATTTCTCGACCACGTGGACCCAGTCCAGGTAAGTACATCACAATCACCACCTCTGTGAATCTCTATGTCCTCGCTTCCATTTTCACTTACATTTCACTAAGTTTAATCATAATAGAATCTCTTCTATCCACACCATGAACATAAGGCAACAATCCTGACAATCATAAAGATATTGAAGAAGGGACATGTGGATTGTCCCCACACCATGACAATGGTTTCCACACCTCCACCTTTTGTGGCCCACTCCAGTCCTCACCCCAGTCTGTCCAATCATGGATACAACCTCAGATGATCTCGTGTCTACTCAAGATTACATCAAATCAGGCTCAAAAGGGAGACTCTCAGGTGCAGCTGTGGAAACCAAGCTCCAAATAGAGAAGCTGGGCAAGCCCAGTCCAATAGTAGGCCTCCTTTCAATAACTACTGGGAGCAGGAAGAGGATGTTGCAGGTTGACGGGGAGATAGGAGGGGAATACCACATGCAGCACTTTGAGATATGGAATTGCACAAGTTCAGCTAGCAACCCTATCTCTGCTGCCATGTACTATCCTTTCCTTTATTTGTCAGCAATGGATCCATTAACTATGATGCACAGTAGGCCAGCAATAGGCAAACATCATTTTTGTCCTGTGAAATTAAAGTCAGAGATGGTGACCATCATTGATGGAAAAAGATTGAAGAGACAATGACTTATTCCAGTGATACTTATTTTCGTCACTAGATGGCGCTCTAGTAGAGAAAACGTCTGCTTACTTCTTAATGGTCAATGTCACTTTTAATCAAGTACCTGAACAAGATGGCTGAAACTGCCAGTAAGTTGAAATTGGAATTATGAAACCACAAAAAGTGGATGTTATCATGATGATCAACTTACTACCTTGCCACAGTTATGCTATTATGATCCTTTCATTACTTGAAGGAAAAATAAGTTACTCCTTAGCTACAGTAAAACCTCTCATTTTTCTGCCAGAAAATTACTAAATGTTTCAATTACAAAGGCATTCTGCAGAATTTTGTTTTCAAACTAGGATAGTGCAAAGGGATTACTTACAGTCACTTGCGAGCAAGTAAAGTTTCTTGCAAATTTTTGCAATTCTGATATAAGTAAAATTGAGGAGTTCTATAGAAAAAGGGCATATGTGCAAAAGATGCAATTCAAGATAAATGATAAAAACTTCACATAGCTAATCCAAAGCTGGTCAAAACTTAATTATCAGTAAAATCGTATCTCTGACCTTTTTCCAATTGAACTTGGGGTTTTAATGAATTTCTTTATCCAACATTACTGGGATGCAGGCAGAAAGTGTTTATGCACATATGCCCATTTTCCATATCTGTGCTGTTGAAACTTTTCCGAGTCTTTCACCTCTTTTTTCATGTTAAAAATAATAATTAACCTATAAATGCATCTACAGACTTCAAATAAACTCTTTCTTGAAGAATAGCAATAAAAATGTTATCAGGACACGTTTCATTCACTAATTACCCAGCAGTGATCCATTATTAATGCATTCATCATCTGAATCTGCAACTATTCCATGGATACTTCTAATTTCTCACATCCTTCCAGAGGCTTGAGTGACTGGGCCTCTTTCTTTCCCCTTCCTCATGTCTGGTTTCTTCCTCATTTTCACTTTCGGTTTAAAAGAACAAAATAATTCCACCAAAATCATTCAGCATGCAAGTGCCAATGGAATATTTATGGAGGCAGCCATACTGAATTTGCCAGGCAGTTGGCCTGCTATATAGTGAGAGCAAAAATCTGCTTCTTCTTTGCTGAATACACACCTTAACTACTTGCTGACCACCCTACTCTATGACTAGTCACCTGAAGCAGCACATGGACACAGATATGGAAAAAGAGCATATGGGCCCCTTTTCCAGAGAACTCCTCAATTGACATGCCTACTCATCTGAGATCTTTACATTCTTGCACCCACCCAAGGAGCATGGCTGCAACAAGGAGACATCTACAGTACAGCTGGATCAGGGATGCATGAGGAGTCTTGATTGGGTCTTTAAAATTTGCTTGGAACAACCTGAAAATTGTTTGAATCTAGCTAAACTTGTTCTGGAAGCAATATCCAAATGTTCTGTTCAATATAGGATAATATTGCTGATGTTTGATTTTTGTGCATGTTTTCATCATTCTGGCCCACTGTGCAATGACTAGAAGGAAGAAAACACCTTTGGTTGGTAACAAGACATCCCAACTGGTGCTGAACAATGAGCATGTACCTCTTGAAGGACCCAAGAAGGCTGATAATTATTTGTGCCTTTCTCACTATGAGTAAATTTTGTCCTGTTTTTGTATGAATTCATCCATAGACAAACATGGCCTGTTTCTTGTGCATATCTACCAGCATACATATTTTTACAGATGTCTAACCAAGGTCCTTGTACAACAAAGTGTGAGACAAATATAGACACACTGACACACAGGCAGGATGGAACCATAAAAGTGGTCTTTTCCTTTCAGGAAAGAAGGCCCCCAAAAAAATTAGCCTTAACTCCTAATAGTGCAGGAGGAAACCCAGGATAAATGAGCATGTGCACAAAACAAAAATTCTACATCTTATAGCATGTCTGTTTTTGTCATGATGGATGGGGTAATTGGAGGACATCAAGAGCATCAAGTCTTTCATCACCAGTTGTAACACAGCGAACTCAAGAATATTTACTAATTTTTTCAAACTCAATTTAATGAGGTTGGGAACATTTGACTTCATCCCTTTGCTGTCCTTTTTTTTTTAGAATGCTATGATCAATGGCCCACCCAGTGGGACAAAGGACTGCAAAAGGTCTTGCTTGTTGTTTAAGAATGCAGTTAGGGCCATCCATCATTTTTATAGGGCTCCTGCCATGCTCAAAATTTATGGATCATACAACATAATTTAAAAGAGTTTATTTTAAAGAGTTTTTTTTTTTAGATTTTTTTTTATGTAAAGGGCTAGAAGGGCATTATGAAAATGACTTCAATCTAAAATGTGCAAGTGATATAGGAAAACTCATATTAAAGGTGCCACAAAATGTATACTAATATACATTCATCCACTATCCATAATCCAATATGCAGATATCTGTGAGACTTCATATTTTCTGCACTGACCCCGATACCCCAGCATAAATATTACTGCTTTCAGAGAAACTGGATGGTCAAAAAGGCTTCATCTTCTGAAATGAATCATTTACAAGCCAAGTTTCATCTACCATATCTTGAAAATGGAGAGAAGAAAATCCAATGAGATGCTAAGCTCACAGGGTGCTTGAGTGAGAAAAGTGGCAGTTTCAACCTTAGCTTCACAAGAGATACCTAGTTGCAGATTTAATCCTTTTTTTTATGGACAGGTCTTGTGGTGCAAGCTGGGGCTTCAAATGACTGAGAGCAAGAAATCCAGAATGGAACATGTAAGCTTACCTTTAACTTGCATATGAAGTGATCCCTGGCATTTGTAAATGTGTAATACTTGGGCATGTCATGCTCCATGAAGTTCTTCCTATTGCAAAATCTCCACAGTTGGTTCTTGAAGGAGAGTTTTGTTGGTCCTCTGATAGTAGTCTCTGAATGCCCAGACATATAATCTAAACTACAAACTCCATCAGGATCTGTGGCACTACCTGACACATGATCATTCATATCCTGGTGCTGGTGCATATGTCCACTGTATATGTTGGAAAGACCTGGATCTCTAGAGTGATACCCTTCATAAATGCATTTGTTGGAGACTGGATTCTGGAAATTGCTCCCATTTTTCTTGACAGCACCTGGACCAGTAACAGGATCCACCTAAAGAGATAAAAAAAAAAGACATGATAGAAATTGATTCAAGCATCACTAAAAAATGGTTTTTCAACAAATTCATTGGGAAATTCCAAGACAATGTAGAATAATTCATGGTTTAATACAAGCATGAGCCAGCCCATGAAGAATTTAATGCAGCAACAGACTGTAGACAAGATGTAGATTCTGACATGATTTTACTATTTCAAAGAGGTTCAAAGTCAACAAAATGTGATAAAAAGGTGTTTTCAGAACTTTGATTCTGGAATGCAACAGTTCAACTAATGGTGATCACTTAAAAATATTTTAATACATGGCAAAGAATTAGCAATAATGGAGAACATGTAATAAGGATTTAAAAATTTAAAGTATATAAAGTCAATGCTTGATATAATAAACCTCTATATGAATCATTTTTGTTCCAACAACTTTTTTTAGCCTGTCCTTTCAAGTTTGTTATATCAAGCATCGACTGTATACTTTAAGACTAAGCCAGGTTTTATTTTTCTTTGTCAATAAATTGCTCAATAAAAAGCAAAATCATAATGCTGATATGTATAGATGCAAATAGTGAAAGAGTGCTGTAACTGCAACAGAAAAAATTCAAACTGTCAGGCTTGAAAGTATTAAGCATATGGAAGAAAACTCACTCTGCACCCATATCAATCCCATCTCCTTTTGTAACCAAGCAGTAATGAAGAGTTGCCTGACAAGGATCCTTCCTTGTCTACAGCTCTACATGGTGCTAAAGCTAAGTGGCTTGAGAATTTCCTGCTGTTACAAGCACTGAAGTGCAGTATTGCTTTCAAAGTTTCATCTACTGAGAAAGGAGAGCCAAAAATTAAGCTTGATAGAACTGACAAAGAAAATACTGCTGATATAAGATGACCTATGTTCTTTACTTGTCACCTTTTATAATTATCATTGTTGCAATAGACTAGTGGGATAGTGCAATAGACTTCTTTGTTGGATTTTAAAGGAATATCATTGTAGATTCCATATCTCAAAATGCAGAGGAGAAAAGAAATGTTTGAATTTAGTATCAATTTTCTTTCTATTTAGTTGGTGACCTTCATGAACTGAGGCATTCTGATGAAAGACTTTTTTTAGTTCAGACAAAAAATGGCAACTTCTAATTAGAGAATGGACTAAACAAAAAAAAAGTATTTATTTATTTATTTACTTATTTATTTATTTATTTACTTATTTATTTATTTATTTACTTATTTATTTATTTATTTACTTATTTATTTATTTATTTACTTATTTATTTATTTATTTACTTATTTATTTATTTACTTATTTATTTATTTATTTACTTATTTATTTATTTATTTACTTATTTATTTATTTATTTACTTATTTATTTATTTATTTATTGTAATATGCATAAAAGCACCAATATCAATCATCACTGTTTGAATCATCTTTGTTGAAACACCACCGTTTGAAAAACTTTAGCTTTTTTTGCTTCTGGTCCACTGTGCACTGTAAAGAAAAAAGGCCTCTTCAACAAGTAAAAATCTTTACCAGGAGTGTTCAGGAGTGTTGGACCTCTTACTTGCAAAAGAAAATTCTTCAGAACATTTTCTAAGAAATGCCAATAAGAAGACAAAGTTCATAACAGATCATTTTTGACACTAACAAGTTCCTTCAAATGAAGAAACAGAGTCAATTAATGTCTCCAGAAAAGTAGCAGCAGATTTTGAATCGTGATGCTTACAAGATTTTCAGAGAATTTGAATCTGACAAAATTGGACAATTTCCTAGCATTTTCCCATAATGACTGGAATAATTCTTACAGTAAGACCTTCCCAATGCTGAAGTGCTCAATTAAATTTGCATTATTGTGTACATGCAACTTAAATCCAAGTCATACTCAAAAACCCTGAACATAGAAAAAATCATTTCTCTATGAAGGAGATAGTCTGCAACATCTTTCAAACAGATGATACCAAGGTGAACACCTTACCTTGGTCTCTACATCAAGTTTAATTCCAATAGAGTTTAAGAGGGTGCCCAAATGTAATAACCAGAAACTGGAAGAATGACACACAGAAATCATAAGGGTTGAAAAATAATATTATGAGGTGGATCATCTTGAAGTAAAATTTCAATAGTGACCAAAGTTATTGTGAAGCATAAAGATTCATTTTCTTACTCAGATGAGCATGTAAATGATACAGATGAATAGAAGTTCCCAATGGGAAGTGATGTATAAAGCAGCAAAATTATGCTTTCATTTAAAACTCAATCAAGTGTTCTTAACTGAACTACATGCTTTGAATTTCCCTTAGCTTAGTTAGAAATAGTAGAAGGAAAGAAGTACTAATAGTTGAAAGTTGTGGAACTGCACATTCCATCATCAAATCAGTATTCTGAGCCCATGATTAGATTGTGTAATCTCAGAATCCCTCCTCTACCATGATGTAGTGCTCTGACTCAGCTAGAGTAACGAAGATATATCCATCATGAATACTTGGAGGACCTTCATCTTTATGGAAAGCATAATAAAGCACAGGTCAAAACACTCCTGAAATCTATGCATGAGTAGTAGGTACAAAAACTTCTGGGAACCACAAAGAAAATGCAAGACATCAAATTTAGAAAAGTGATATAATATCCTTGAATCTTTTAAGCCATAAATGATGATGGGTAAAAGGGTATATTTTCTTCAGATCTAAAAATATTCAACATGAACCTCCACATTGATATTCTTTTATAATTCCATCGGCTCTTCATGAACTGGCAAGTGCATGCATCAGGCCTAGAATAAATCCATAATTATGTTTTATCTGGAAAAAAGACTTCAACAATAATAACTCATTGAAGACAATTTGACACTCCAAAGCCAAAACAGGGTCCAGCCTATTTTCAAATCTGTTCAGAAATGAAATAAAAATGAAATTTAAAAATGTAAACAAAGAACAATGCAAGACACGCATGCATGAAGCTTGATGACTTGCGATCAACCAACCTGGGATTGGGTTTCCTTCATCAAGATAGGACTGCCTACAGCAGATAATTCTCTCTCCTTTGAATGCATTCTTATATGCTGAAAGAGCAAACATTTATGACCACAGCCTATATCCAACCATATTTGCTTCTCCACTACTCCTATTTCTAATTGCCCCCAAAAGTCCCATTCCCAATCGATATTCATACTGGTTGGGTGTTCCTAAGGCCCAGCTATTAGAGCATCTTGTGCAGTAAAACTACACAGTTTCTCCACACTCACTATGAAGACTAAGGGGAAGCTACAGGGACTTACAATGCCAACAGGGGAGAAAAAGAGAGAAGTAATACAAATGCTACTCACCATATTCAGAAAGTGATCTATCAGGGTACATGAGCTGATGTCATTCTCATTTCTTGCCATTTCCTATAAGGAAAGAATTTCCATCAGCCTGTTTTCCTGGACAAGAAACCTCTATAATAATCTTAGTGATTGAGAAGACAGTATGAACCAATACTATCTGAATGATCCATACAGAAGTCAAATGGGTTCATAACAGATAATCTAGATTTGAAAATGACATTAGTAAAGGAAAGGTATCAGCCAACAAGCCTCCACAGGGGCAGAACGAATTGTACAAATTAAATTGGGTCATTCCATGCAAAAGGAACAAATGAATCAAAATTTCAAAATGAATGGATGATCCAAGAGTGGATGTTGCCAAAAAGAGTATAGTCGATATCCCGAATCTGAAGTTAATCCCAGACACCATGCTGGTCAATCAATTGGCTTATGCACCTGATCCAAAGACCACGAAACATTTTGCCCAAGAAGTCATGAATGCTGTTAGCATAACGAGCTGAAGCACCATCCTGCCTTAGGAAGATTTCCACAATTCATTTGAAATGTCAAGATAGGAATGACTTCCCCATTAAGCTCTTCAATATAGCAGTCTGCTATCTTCATGGTGCTCCAGCCTATTACTCTCACCACAATCACAACTTCTTGGGCAAAACGTTTCATGGTCAGGATCAGGCAGCATGGGCCAATTGATTGACTATCATGGTCTCTGGGCTTAACTCTGGCTGACTTCTTTCCATGGGGTTCAATCAAAGGCACTGTGCATGCAATGAAATCTCTGACTCTTCCAACATGAAAGGATACTATTGTTGCCACAAAGTGAAGCTTGCCAGTGGAGTTATGCCAGCAAGTTTACTTATCACTATCAGTAAGACGGCAGTTGTGTAAAGACTTGAACTGTGGACACATTGAGCAGTTTTTGTGAAAAGTTTTAAGGCTATAAATACATCATAAACATGTGCTTTTGTGTGTATCACTGGCTAGTTCCATTGCTTTTCAATAAAAGTTTTGTTGGAGTTCAAATGTGTTCCTTTACTTCTGGCCCACCCTGTATATCCAAGACATCAATGTACAAGTTTGGATGCTCTGTCAATATGGAAAAAAAACTTCTGAAAGTAATAGTAACCATGTCAAATGGTCAGTCTTCAAATAACATGTATTGAGGCTCACACTATTGCTTAAAGACTGCACTTTTAAAAAGAAATGCAATGTTAAAATACAGACAACATACCAAAGAATTTTCAAGGCAAAAAGGATTATGAATGGGATTGGTCAGAGACCCATGATGTAATAAAATCACTTTATAATGGGTATCATATACAAAAAGATGTAGGAAGATAAATCCAATACTTCAGTTAAGTAGGCCTTCAAGGGGATCTGGAATGTGGCACCTCAAGGGAACACGGAAGTGAGAAAGCTCAAAGAAAATAAATAGAAATAAGGACAGGAGAATAAGACAATTATCCAATGATCAATGAAAATCATCAGTCATTGAAGAATCATCTTAAATTTTGACTTGGCACATGCTCCCTGTTGGAATCAATCCTCCTATACACTTCTTTTGGGCTTCTGAACGTATTTCTTACCTTCTTTCTCTTCCCCCTTCCTTTAGGTTTCTCACTTTTTTTGTTCCCTTGCAGTGCCAATGTACTGGATCGCTTGAAGGTCTACTTAACTGAAGTAATGGGTTTACTTTCCTCCACCTTTTTAGAACAATTTATAAATATATTCTCATCATACAAATGGAACATATTCAGTTGGTGTGACTTCCAATAATGAGGTATGTTCATGGGTGGAATTAAACATCAAGAAGAAGATCCATCTTTAAAAGGCATTGGGACTGGTAAAACTAAAAGCAAAGCAAACAATGCCTATGGTATGAATGTATCCAATGTTATTCACTATTAAGTTTACCTTCATTCGAACCACAGAAGAAAGAGAAGAACTGTCAGTGGCATCCTTGCTTCCTAAAAAAGGATAATTTCCCTCCCTATGAAGAGATGACGGAAAACTTGCTCCATTCTCAGGATCTCTAGTGATCTCGTGTGATTTAAGATCCTTTCTAAGTGGCTTTGAAGCATTATGCTAGAAAAAAAAAAGGAAAAGAGAGGTGTTCTCAGTTATTCCAAGAAGGAACAAGGATTAATGATATATAAGAGACACAATGTATGAATAAACTGCAAGGAAAAAAAAGCTCAAGATAGTCAATTGGGGCCAAGAGTGCAAAGGGACAACTACTAGACTTAGTGCTTCCCTGAATGACCTCTACTGTAATGTACTGGGGCAAAGTTAGAAATCGAAATTGGAAAAATTTGCAACTAGGAGTAAGGAAAATTTGCAGGTTACTACAGAATGAATGTGCCTTTCTTACAGCAAAATCAAATCTCTTCTAGTAGAAAAGTGACTTCAGGCAGGCCAAAGAAAAACTGAGAAATGCCTTCAAAACTTGGACCAACACTTGCATCGGCATGGAACTCCTTTTCATTGTTTACTAGTCCCTCAAAATGGCACCAAAATGAAATGGAGTTCTACTGTCTCTTTGATTTCACTGATGTATACTAGCAGCTTCATCATATTTGAATTTGAGGAGATCTGAGATGAGGATGTTTGCTCTGTGGAGGCATAAACCATCCCAACAGGCTGTTGATAACTATAACAGTTTCACAAAAGAAAATGGAGGTCCCAACAAGGCAATCTTCTGCAAAATCAACTCAAAAAAGATCTTATCAGCCAAAGGGAATCAAGACTAAAACATGACATACATTCTCATACATTTTCACACATTTCCAGATCAACACTTTCTATCAGGCTTAACCCTTTAAGGTAGTAAGATCCCTTTAGGGCTACTTTTGACCCCAATGAGGATCAGAGTGCGAACTATACATCATTGGAAAGTGCAGGGAACGACTTCTGTTTCAATGATATAATTAACATAAATTGTGCTAATGAGGTACAAATATGGCTGACAAAGCACCCAAATCCAAGCCATCTTTGAGCCAGCATTTCATACATATTAACGATTCTGAACTCATGAAACTCATGCAATACATCAATCACTTATTCAAATCCTGATGGTTTCAGATTTTCAAAGAACAAAGGGTAGAGGCACCAGTTTGTGGATGGGCACCTACTTGCGGACAGTTTTGTGTTTTTTGCCATTTCACAAAATTCATGCTGAAAATTTTTTTCCTGAAATGCTCCATATTTTGCACTTGCCGGTCAGCCACAATATAAATTATGCATACCCATCAGCACAAGTGAACTTGGACATTTTCGCTCAGTTTTAGACCTAGCACCCCTGAATTCCTTAATTTTTCCAATGATGTTTCTTAAAAGGACATCATTGAAGATAAATATAATTGCTGAACATGCCTCATGCCCATATTTTTCTATTCAACCTATGCACGTTCATAATTGTTGGCAAAAACTGGTGTCCACAAACTGAAACCAGGCCATCCACAAATAGGAACCATGTGAAAATCAGCACATATTCATTTAAACAGTGACTTTTGGAAAAGTATATTTTTAATAATTTATTTTAGGGTATGGGCATCAAGCTATGATAAGTGGCCTCCGACTGAAACCAATCAAGTGGTTTCTCGGTTACCCCAATGACTGTAACGCAATTTTGAAGAGGAAAATGTCCTTAACCTGTCCACAAACTGGTACCTTTACTCTATATGCAAAGAATTCAACTGACTGAGCAATTTTTTTTTGTCATCTTTCTCTTAATTATATATGCAACAGAAAATCGGTGTATTTGAGAAACCGTTCAAAAAATCCCATGACCATTCCCTGAGGAGGCATTTGAAGTATCTCAGGCAAAAAAATTACACATGAAGGTACAAAATCAACAAAGTTATGCAATCTCAAAGATGAAGAATGTTAACTGAGAAAACCCCAAAGGAAAAGTGAAAGTCTCATTCCACTCATAAATTTCAATGTCTAATGAACATCTGCCTTGTACTTATTATCCTCAGAATCCTCACATTTGTCATGAAAACCTTTTCCCATTGTTCACAAAGCTTTTTGGCTTTTTTTTTGGCTCTGGGGACATATTGGCTGAGTGGTACAAATAGATAAGATCACAGTCTTTGGCACTCTCCCCAGTAAATCTCCCATGAGGTACTCCCAGTTGTTTAAATAGTCTAAAAAAAAAAACAATACTGCCATCTTAGAAGTGATCGACAGCCAAGTAGTAGCGAGCAGACAACATTTGATACAGATGGATCCAAGGACCAAAGTCGTGACTAGGGAGACATTCTTCATTATCACTATTTAACCATTTTTGTAAAAATAGAGAACGTTTTCTCATTTTACGATTGCACACTGATAGATCAGTGAAAATAATATAGCCTGAACCAAATTTTTGGAAAATGATATTTTTCATGAAAATCAACTTTTAAATGGGAGAGTGCTACCTTAAGAATTAAGTTTAGCTGAGGCATGCAACTGAGCTTTTTTTTAGCAGTTCCCTTATAGAAGTATGTGACTGCTGAATCTTGCAATATGATGAACCTAACCCCTAATCCCAAAACAATTTTTAAATTGTGTATCTATGACCATAGTTTGGAGGGATAGCACCATAGCTGTCATTGATACATGACTGTAGTACTCAAAGGGTTAAAAAGGAATTTCTAATTGAGAGATATAAAGACCATCCAAATTTCCTACTGATTATTTGCTCAAGGCAAATTTTACTAAAACACTAAGTGACTACTAGCTTGTTTACAGTAGTGACCTAATTTTGATGGTTCACTGGCTGCTGATCACCGCACAAGATTTTCAGCCCTAATTTTAAGCCATACACATAATGTAACAAAAGTAATTAGGTACCAGCAAATAAAAACATAAAGTACCTGTGTAGATGCAGGGGTAGTTGATGTTTTGGGTTTTAGTTGATGTTGAGTGGAAGGAATGGATCGAGCATGCTTAGAACTCAATGACTTGTTAGTATATGACTCTCTTCGCATGGGCACTAGTGATTTCTTGTGTCTGTGTCTCACCTCAGCATGAAGATCCTACAACAAGGAGGTATTAAAAGCACAGTTCAAGTGAGGATATTTTTAAAGCATCAAGTAATTAAAGCAAGGAAACTGTTTTTCAGATGATTTTTAATGGATGGACTTAACACTTATGTTTCATTTCTAGTTGAAGGTCTTTTCATAAATGAACTGAGAGACTGCACATCCCAGCTTGCTCAAGACTAGGGCTCATAAGCATTTTAATTCCTTAATAGACCAGCCTTTACAAAAATTGGAACTGGGAAGGGTATGTCCCATGTCCATTTCAACAAATGGCTGCATCACACCTCAATATAAGTCCTAGGGGCAAGTGAGTGGCTCAGTTGGCAGCAAGCTTAGCTTTGATGGCAGGGTACTTGGGTTCAAATCCAACCAAGTCAAACATTCCAAATGCAAACCCTGGTGTGCTTGGGAAGGGAAACCCAAGGATGTAGCATTCCCAACTCTAGATGTGGGATCCTGAAGAATCATCACTTACCCGTGCATGAGGCAGTGCATGAGGTTGTTTGACAAAGCTCCCCTTCTTGGTGCTTTTCTGCTTGGAAACAAGAGCTTTCAAATGATTTGTTCTCTCATCAGCGATGACATGACACATCAAAACATTGCCACGTTGTTTCAAATTCACAAGGTGGGGCAGAGATCTCAGGTAGGCTTCCAATGAACAATATCCAAACTGCTTGAAAGGAATGGCCTTCCCAGCAAGACGGTGATAATCTCCTGCAGAAATCAATGAGCACAGTGTTGGTACTTGTTATCCAGCTACAGCATAATATGGTTTATTTTTCTTCAACAAGCTCAACAAGGAAGATACATTGGAAAAGTTGCTGCCACATTAATGGGTGCTCCATCCACATCAGATTTGAGCATCAGAGACACTAGTCACTGGGGATAGTTCAACCCATTCAGAGGTGGATGTTTTGTTAACTATTGCCTGTCCTATGCCCATTTATTATTAATGACATTTAATCATATGAAAAATATTCATGCTCAAATATCAATTGAAATTCCTTGACACACTTAATGAACAGAAGGGAAAAGGTTTAAGGTAGAGTTTTTGTGAGGGCATGGTGGTGAAAAGATAGCATGAACTAGCTGGATATGGTTTCTCAAACATGCAATAGGACACAATCCCGTAGATAGCACAAGGGCCAAGATGCATGTGTGTGCTGGGGTAACCATTTTCAATGGGATTAGATTTCTGCAAAACGTTGCAACTTTAACTCCAATATCTAGAATGAGGGTTCAGGCTACAACAGCCCATTTTTAAGAGTAAGAAAATTACCATCCAAGCTGTCACAAACAAGACACATTATGATGGAAAAACATATTTCAACAAACTGAACAAAGGAACAAGGCAGACTGCAATGAAAGAGTTCAGGAATTAATACCATTCAACAATGGGAACTCTGATAACCAATATTCCTGTCTCCACTTTCATCTTTCTTGTAACAGAATGAGATGACACTGAACCAGATGGAATCAGAGAACTGTCTGCAAGGAAATACACTTCATTAACCCTCAATTGAAAGAAAACTTTTGTCCTTTCCTCTTAATCTGCTGGTTGTGCTTTGTACATCAGCATTAACTGAATCTCCTCAATTATTGTTTCCTTTTTTATTTTATTTTTCCCCTTTTTCTGAACAAATCTAAAGGTAAATGGCTTCAAGGAGAATAAGAATCATAAAATAAAGATTGATGTTCTAACACGTTACCAAAAATCATGCTCAAAAAACTTCCTTTGGAAAATAGCATTGAGTGACACAATGCTGTTGAACGGTCTTGTCCCCATCTGCTAATTTAGCATATATGACTTTAGAAAACATAGCAGTGGCATCTAGCATGTGTGTTGCTGAAACTCCCACTATTCCCAAACCTATGGATACTTTCACTCATAATGGATTAGTCACTCAGTCTCATGATGGCTCAAGAGTAATCAGAGTGATCTGCACAAATGCTATGTAATCCTATGCTACTTCAGATGCTCAAGCCAGATAGATTAAGCTCTTACAATCAGGCCCAGCTCCTTAAACTTATCCCATGGATCAATCTATTGAGATAAGGCATGAACTTATCAACACCCTTGAAATATGGGATGTGAACAGGTATTATACTAAGATGTTTGAGATGAAAAAGCAGTAAGCACAATGTCAGGAGGGCATAAAAAGTATACTCTCGATACCTGCCTCACTCAGCACTCAGAATGCCACAACTTAACCCTTTTAGTGCCAAGGAAACTATATATAGTTGACTGCTTAATCAAGGGCAGTACCGCTGCATTGGCAACCATCCGTACGTTTGTAAGCTACCGATGCCGATGCCGACGCCCAAAGAAGAATGTGAGAAGAATGTGCCGAGAACGTGCGGAGTGAAGAGAAACAGAAAATTTTTTTTTAAAATACAAGTGAACGCGGCTTAGTAAATGATTCTTGGCAGCAATAGGAACAACGTTGGGATGTCACGATGTATCGATCGATATATCGATGTCATTATTGGTAGCTGGAGCCAACGATGGCGTTGTTACCCATCGCAATGGTCACCCCTCTTCCCCAAAAAACATGGACGAGAGATGATGGAAAATGGAAAAAGATCCGCTCTCCGATCGGGGCAAGAAATGACGGAAGTGAAACCTCTGCCCGATCGCGACGTAGGATCAGAGATGGCTGAATCCGCCAGCAATCATGACGGTGATGCATCGATAACCATTGATATATCGGGTCGATTCACTGATGTTTTCAAAACAGTCATCGCGACACCTCCCCTTCTCCCCCAGAAAAGTGAAATACGTCTTCCCAATACGTCAAATTGAATAAGGATTCTTAAAGAACCGTCAACTAAAGGTGGCTTCAGGATTCGGGTTGAATGAAAAAACCTTGATCAAATACTTATATTTGATCAAGGTTTTTCATTCTTTATCTACATTCCACAATCAGCATTGGCATCGGCACCGGCCGATGGATGAGATCATAATTGGCCATCAGCCCATCGGGCAAATGTTGCCGCCGGTACAACACTAGTTTAACCAATTGATGTGAAAGTGAATACGACCCGAATGCTGAAACCTTCTTAAATTAATGGTCCTTTAAGAATATTTGAACTCCTATGGGGAGAATAGCGCTCTTTAGCGCAAAGGCATCTATCTCCCCAAATGAGGTTTGGGGATTCAGGCCTAAACTTTCAGCGGAACATAAGATTGACATTCTATGCCCCTCAGACACAAGACTGAATTGAACCATGGAAGGAGAGGTTCATAATCCTCAAGGTTCAGATTCCAACAGGGACATCAAGCAGTGACAAGGCAAGGAGGAACGGAGAGGGTATTAGAATTTCCTTACATCTCCAGGGGGGAGGAGCCGAGTGCATTTACAGCAGAGTTGGGTGGCTGAAACCCCTCAACTCTGGTCTAAATGCATCCGGCTTCAGCCCCCCCAACTCTCCCTCACTATGCCACTGCCATCAAGGGCACTTTTCCCATAATGAGGTCACGTGTAAAGGACCAGCATTCATAAAATAGACCAATTCCTCTCGCAGATAAGATAATAAATCCTCTTGCAGATAACTTTTTTGTCGGGGTATATCCACCTACAGCCTAATTACAGCTACGTTGCTTCCCTCTTTGGGTAGTGGAAGCGATCCACACACTCACTACCCAATAAGCAAAAAAGTCAGTCAGCAACCTGACTCTTACTTGAGGTTCAAGCAACTTGAACCAATTCCTTTCCGTTCTGAACTTATCGCTGAATGAAACAAGTTACCGCACTCCACGTTAACGATTCTCTTAGGGTGACAAGCACCAGATCTGTTTAACTTTAAACTGATTCGTTTTCATAATGGGCGTTTATGGGAGTAAGTTTATCTCGGTTAAACTTTTCCCATAGGGAACCATTGTGAGATCAGATTAGTTTAGCTTAAACGGATTCGGTGCATGTCACCCATTATCTTAAATACGTGGATGAGCCCCCCCCCCCCCCACTCGTTAACCACCTCTCAGGAGAGAATCAAGCCCTAACGCTTCAAACTTAATTCATGAAGGTCGTACAACATTGCTGTAGCTCTCCCCTAAACCCTCTCTAGCGCCGTTAAATCACTTTTATCAGCAGGCCCCCAAAATTGAACACACACATACTCTAAGGGGGGTCTTACAAGAGCAGCATGCAAAGGGAGATTACGCACAAGCTTGTCTTGGCAACTGAACGCCGGATGATATCTGCTTCACTTAGCCACCGTCGCAAGAGTATGCGATTTTCGGTTCCTCATCAATCATTACTCCTAATGCCCGAATGCACAAATCTCATTTAGGCCAGATAAAGGGGCCTTTAACCCATTGGCCTAGCAATTAAATGTCCAATGTTATGCACAAAACTTGCAAATATTTTGCGTCTGAGAGGTGAACATGCACTTATAAAAATGTTGATAACGATAACAATGCGATTAGGAAAAAAGTAGGAACTGTTGCTTATACTCGAGTATACCATTGCTTCAACAAGAAGTGCGAGAAAGTGACGCGTTGCTGAAGAAGATATTAGCGATTTATTAGATGAATCAGAACCAGAACTGCGTGAAGATGATTGTGGCGATTTAAGTGACTTTTTTTTAGCAATTTGAGAGACCCTGAATCAGACGAAGTGGCGATGAAAATGATAATGATGGGCATGGAGACGCACCTCCGCAGAAGAGGGCGAGAACCACCTCTTCCTTTCCAAATTTCCTATCATTTTCCTTACTTTGTTTAATAGGAAACGAAACTGCTAATTAACTGCAAAAAGCCTACGTGGAGAGACAGTAGTGTGTCAACAAAAAACTCGACAGTCACGGGGTAAAAACGCAAATGATTTTCAGATACGACCTAAGCACGAATGTGTCCATTTTTACACCGAAAATCTCACGTGTCAGACACGTTACCTAGGTCAAGGGGTTCAGCTAAGGAGATCTTTCCCACATAAAGAGTCCATGTATTCTTACAGGAGCGTTGAGTAAAGGAGGTTTCAGCATTCGGACCTAAGTCTCTCTCCCCGTCCACCTCCCTCAACGTTTCTTCGCCTAATGCGTAGACTTTTTGTTTTTACTCCCGATCAGGAGAACCTTAAACTTACTCTTACTAAACTCCACAAACTTTTAATCCATTAGTCAAAACCTCTATATCACCCTTCGTTTTTACTCTGTCCTCAATGGAGAACTCTATTTTCGGGCCGTCTGGATATTTTATGACTTGACCCGCGAGGCCTTCATCTAAATCAGGGGTTCTTAACCTTTTTGCACTTACGGACCCCCACCCCCGGTTATCACAAACTTTGGAACGCCTGGATTTGTGATTATAAATTATGTTTTTCGGGAGCTACCTTCAATTATATATTTAATTTTCCATGGACCCTCCACGGACCCCCTGGACCTACCCCATGGATCCCAGGTTAAGAACCCCTGATCTAAATCGTTAAGACGTATCACAAACAGAAGCTATCTCTAAACGAAGACGAGGGCAGTGGCAGCGTAAGAGCCTTGATTTGTGAATATTCATATGACAAGATTGTCCTGCCAAGAATATGGGCACTGTATATAAGTAGTAATTTTAAAATACCTTCTGCGGTGTTTGACACTGGTGTGCACACACTATAAGGGGTAGGGAAATTTAGAACAAGAAGTTAAATTAAGCATGCAGAAGAACATAGGGTATCCTTCCAGAACTGCAAGGCCCCACAACCCGAATCCAGTAAAGGAACTGCTCTGGGAAAGGAAAAATCTGGCAACAGACTCATCTGCAGGCAGTTCAAGAGGAATGGCACAAGCGATACCCCCGACCCCACTCCCTTGACTGTGGGACTTCCTGACGGAATGTGTCTACCGAGACATATACACAACTCTTGGAGTTAAGGGATGCAATACAAGTCCACCCGGTTCCTTGAACAAGCTAGGTACTGCTGTTTGGATCGTTATTCCACGTCTGGAATCAACTGACGTTACCAAAGGAGCACACTTCCAGCTTCTCCTTACATCTGGTCTGGACAAACCAAATGTCCTGAACTAGGTATGCGATGATGGAATCCTCATAACCACATGACCCTCATTCAACATAGCCACCTTTTACTGCATGCTTAATTTAACCTGTTCCCCAAGCTTCATCGTCATACACTGAACAATGCAAGCACACCTGTATCAAACACTGCAGAGGGTCCTTCATAATCACTCTGTATGCCCAGATTGTTTATCATGAGAAGCAGTATCCAAGCAAGAGCAATTCAGAAGGGTATTGTGATCCAGTGTAATTATGTACCCTATGTACTTTGGCAACCCTGTACTGAGTTGTTTTTAGATGCACCAGGGTGCCAATAAGGATAAGTTACCTTTACTTTCTATGGTATAGGAAGGGCTAGACTAGTTCCTGAAATCATGGACTAATCTCTTGCATAATTATTGCAGAGAGTGAGAAAGTGCCATGCTACCCAATTCTAGTTAATTGCCAAATTAATTTGAATGGGGCAGTTAAGGGGTTAAGGTGCTGATTGAATTCCTAATTGCACCACACATTGCATACTGTTCAACAGTCTGGGATATGTACCAGCACTACAATAAATAAATAAGAAAACACCAACTTTTCTCCTAAGCTTATATGTGGATTGTGGAAATACAGCCACATTCCTCTCACTTTAGAGCAATTGAAACAGAATCCAGTCAAGAAGCAAACAGAACATCATTATCTTAGAATACTCTTCAAGGTCTATAAAACAAGCCAAAGCTACAGTATTATGTAAAATCCATGCTAATTGAAAATCAAGCAATAACCACACAGAAAATTCAACACTATGAAGGCTTTTTTCTGCCAAAATGCAAAAATGAATATTCAATTCAATCTTTCAGATATGTAGGAGCATAAAAGTACTGTCATATGAAATGAACTTTCCAGTGACAAGATAGATGAAGTTGTTCTTTTTACCAAGTGAAGACTGCTCTTTTATCAATCACCTCTGCTGTATCCATTTGTAGCCCCATCTTTGTGACTTTGATGCATGTTTTCATACTCAACTTTGCATGAATGGATCAGCACCAATAAGCCATTCACTGATTCATGCATTTACTCCTGATATCCACAAAACACTTCAATTCTGGTGAACTATTCAAAGTCAGGCAACATGTCAAGATTTGAACCTTACCCTAAGTCTCTCTACAGAAACACATGACCAAGTTTTGAAGATTTTTAACTTACCCATCACTTTTTCTAAAGGGAGACCATCCTTGGCTGAAGTCAAGCAAGATCTCAGCAAATTTTCTACTTCAGCAGAACTCATTTTTGTAAAAAAAAACTAGAAAAGGGGCTAGGCAAAAATTAAAGAAGCCCAGGCAAACACAGTTCTCATATACAAAGTGCAGACCTGGAAAACAAAAGAAATATGGATTAAAAAAACCAGTAATCCTGGGATAGGCCTAGGTTTAGGGTCTACACTAAGGCAAAGCAAGTGGCAGTGTTACCATGCAATCTTGAAGAAACCCTCCCATTCCTGGATACGGGGGTCTCAAAGTGACCAAGATGCCTGGT